AAAAGCTTGTAAACAGATCTAAAGAGTTGATGTAAAATGAGCTCAATTCATTTTCTATGAGAAAAAAATGGCAGAAACGGCTAAATATTTCAAAAAGCTAAAGTTGCACAGATACAAAAAAGTCACATCAGGATTGTCCTGAAAGAGCTGAACATTTTGATTGATGATTCGTTGAAATAGCTTGAAAACTGTGGGATGTGAATGAAAAATAGATCATAATAGAGTGAGTGCTTCATAAACGTTCACACAATAAAGTTGTCCTGAACGAGATAAGCAGTTCTCTTAAAAATGAATGCCCTCATACGAGGACCCAGGATGTTCAGAGTTTATTCCATTAATTTTCCAGACATCCAAACTCCAGGGTTGCACTCATTGCTTTGGTTACTTGATTGACCAAGGATAGGCTGGTGTCTGTCGGAAAACAAATATGGTGAAATCGACCAAGTGTAGAATCTCAGACAAGACATTTAAGTGGAAATATTTCAGTAAAATTGCTGCTAAATGGGACCGAAAACAGAAAAAAACGAGTAAAGGCTGATTTATACTCAGCAAGACAGGGAGAATTCTGGTCTAGCTCACAAGACTGCAAGACCTTCTTTCACTGGAAGTTTGTCAAAAGACATGAGAAAACCCAGCTCTCATTAGGACTCTGTAGAGCCGGAAAACTACACGGTAGAAACATTGTTCAAAGTTTAAACAGTTTGGACTTCATCAATCTCTCTGAGGATTGATTAGCTTCTCTCTGGTGATTTCACTGCTTTACATGAGCGCTCGGCCACTGTCAGAGAAGGGAGTCTCCGCTCCGTCTCTGCGTCCACCTTTTGGTCTTTGTAAATCTGTCACGAATAAACCACAACTGTTTTTGACTGACTTCTATGACAATGATGGCACCATCTCCTTCCCCAAGTGTGACGTCATGTGCAGCACTGTCGGGAGCTCCACATAGACGTGCTCTTTTTTTGTTCCTGTTTTAACTTTTGCGCCTACACTGAAACACCCACGCTACGGGTATGACCGTGACACACTTTAGAAGTTTTGTGTGACGCTGCCTTGCCATCGTGGTTTAATTCCCGGCCCTTACAGCCTCGGGCTCAGGCTCTTGCCTGTCATGGCGGCCATCTACATGATCCTCCATCTGCCGGCGCGGTCCAAACTCTACGGACCCGTTTGGTTCCACAGGGAAACCTTGGATGTTTTATGTCTACCGGACCTGCTTGAGGACAGTCATTGTCCATTTCTGCCATTGTTATTATCATCATGCTGTTAACGGGACCGTGCTGCTAACAAGACCACACCGCTAACAGTACCACACTGCTAACAGTACCATACCGCTAACAGTACCACACCGCTAACAGTACCACACCGCTAACAGTA